AACTAAAGAAATGTAAAAAAAAAAAATAAAAGTTAAAACAAGTAAATATATGCTGTCCTATCTATTTACTAATGCTAGCAGCATAAGGATTAAAGGCAATCTTGACTGAGTCTTTGGTGCTGGACATGTTTTGCTGCAATTATAAAGATTTAGATGGATGTACAGTATAGTTTTTCCAATAAATATCAACCTGAGGGATGATTTGGTTCTTTTCTCTAAAAGAAGCACAATTAGAACAGGAAAAAAAAAAAAAAAAAACCCTCCACCCCCTTATTTACCATATCGGCATACAAAGCTTCCTCTATATGTCCTAGATTGTGATGTCTGCCAGCCTCTCTGACCCCCCCCCCCCCCAGCACTCCCCAGAAGTCTCAGTCCCACTTGTGGAACACAGCACCGTAGCTTAGCCTGTATACGGTTAATACTACATGCCCAGCAAGCGTGTGTGCAGTAATTCATTTGTCCAGCTTCTTGACCCAAACAAAACCGTTTTAGGGCTGGTACACAAAAGAACGTGGTGAGGGTAAGGCATGTTGTGCGTGCTTTCCCCCACCATGTTCAAAACGCACTGGGTGTACAATCTGCTACCGGTGTCAGTATGTTCTTGGCCACTTCCTGCCTTGCCCAATTTAAAATGAAGTCCAGGCGCGACAGCTTCCTAACCCTGGGTGGAAGTCATGGCGTCCCGCAGGAACGCACCTTATGCTCACTCTACAGGCCTTGCAGTGGCATGATCTGTCACTCACTGTGTCCATCAGACATGGGAAGACAGATCTTTGTACCAGGCCTTCCCCTGTACCATGTGATCATTGTGACCAATCACAGCGATCACGCTATCAGTAAAACTTTCATTTGTAGCCATTCATGGTTTACCATTGTGATCTGGTCACAGTGATCACATGATACAGGGGCCGATCACAGCAGACCTGTACCATGTGATGGCTATAGCCAATCACCGCTATGACAATAGTACACAATTTTGCACATGAATGGATGGCATTCATAAAAATGGTTGTGGAGTTAATTAGTGTAATATGCAGTCATAGTGGGGGGGATAATATCCAGGTCACCTCAGAGCAGTACAGTGTCACTGTGGTGATACTGTACTGCTCTGGTCACAGTATGTGTGGAAAGAAAGCTGTATCTGTCTCAAAAACTGATAAAAATGTTATTTGCGTGCAGTGTTGGCTGACTAATTGGCATTCAAAGTGTGATGGTGCTGAAAATTGACCTGGGCAGGAATGGGGTGAATGTGTCATATATTGGCGTGGTTAAAAGTTCCTAAACCCACACCAGTAAAATTAGTCTGTACAGTATATGAATTAAAGCATGCTTGTTATACTCAAATCTCCATATAGTTAAAAGGCTGTTTGATCCTGTCTTCTCTGGTCCTCCCCTTTTACTGTCCCCAATCCATCTGCCACAGTACAGAGCAGCAGTTGCAAGTTTGCACATGCTCCTGTTTGGTGTATATTGCTATAAAAAAAAAATATAATTTTGGGGGGAGGGTGCACGGGATCAGCACTCTCCAGATGGGGTCAGGGGTCATGCAGCCTCATAGGACAGTCTGAGGAGAATGAAGACGCCTCCTACAAGATTAGCTGTACCATCTGATTTGGTGTGGTGCGTTTTTGATAGTGCATACAATGCCTTTTTGTGAGCTGGCGGGCTGAAAATCGCATCGCATAGTTGCATAGAGACACACAGAGCATTCCTGTGCAACTCAGGTGAACCCCACCCTAAAACATTAAACATGAAGATCAGCTTTTAACAGTGGTATCCATGCAGTGTGTCAGGGGCGGATTGACCATTTGGAAACTCGGTCACTGCCCGAGGGCCCGGGGTCAGTGGGGGCCCCATGAGATGCCCCTGGTACCTTTTTTCATAGGCTTTTTTGAGTTTGGGTAAGGACACAGGGGCCCCATGATCCCCTATTGCCTGGGGGCCCCATGAGTTGTCAGTCCGCCCCTGGTGCTGTGTAACAGATGGCTATATAAGTATCTGAAATAAAAAAAAAAAAAAAAAAGGAGTTTTTAGAAATACATAATGGTCAAAATGGGTTCTTGTCATGGATGGCTTTTATAAACATGCACCACTGGATCCGTTCTTCAGACATCATCAAGCATAATGTTATTTCTAACTGTATTATTTAAAGATTGTGCAAATCATAAGTGTTTTGGCATCCGCTGAAATTTGTCAGAAAAATGGCTGAGGAAATCTGCATTGTGACTCAGATGAATAGAGTGCATTCTCATCTAATAAATCATTAGCCATTCACCAAGAACACCATCTATCACTCTGGCAGATAAAACCAGCAGCACTACATAAAAGCAATGTAGCACACCCGAAACCACAGAAAATAACTTCAAGGTCTGCTGGATGTGTACAGATTTTTTTTTTCTGTTCATAAATAGATATTTGAGAAGGAAAATATTGTCCATTGCAGGGGCGGACTGACCATTTGGAAACTCGGGCACTGCCCGAGAGGGCCCGGGGTCAGTAGGGGGTCCCATGAGATGTCCCTGGTACCTTTTTCATAGGCTTTTTTGAGTTTGGGCAAGGGCACGGGCCCCATGATCCCCTATTGTCCGGGGGCCCCATGAGTTCTCAGTCCGCCCCTGCAGTGTGTTCCTCTATTTTCCCTCTCTGGGTATTACATTGGGTTGTTTGATGCTCTTGACCTGCAGCACCGCTTGCTTCTGAGCTCCCACTACTCCAGCTTTACCACAGCTTATGTCAAACTGTGACAGTTGTAATGTAAAGGTGTAAATCTGAAAACAGCTTTGCGCTAGCTCATAAACACAATCATAAACATAGAAATAAACAAAAAAAGTTCTTGTAAATTCTGACGGTTCAATCAAATATTGTGCTTGATTAAATGTGTTTTGATATAAAATGTGCTCCAAAAAAACTTCAGTGCTCCACTGTGAAACCTGTGCACCTACACCTATGGATAAAGATGGCCGCTCACCTCATAACATGAACCTTTAAACTAGTATAGGTCAACCAAGCATGATTCCATCAGAGGCACCAGATGGCAGCAAAGAGCTCATACAGGCACCACCATAAATCACAATATACGAATCTCTTCACAGCTTAAACTCCACATGTAAGGAAGAGAGGAACAGATCCCATAGTGTAATACCGTTTTTATTCTCTTAATTCCATATAAGGAATAACACTCGCATTATACAGACAAGTCACATGCATAGCGAAATTCCGGTCTGCACATGTGACCGGGAATGACGTCCCTAATCTCCGCCCCACACGTTACGCCACCAATCACATGGCTTCGTCAGGCAAAAAAAAAACTTTCGGATGAGAGTAGGTTTACCCTGAGCACATGACAGACGTGAAAGGGTCTGGAGAAGTTGTAGAGAACGTTATGCTGCCTGTAACATTCTGCATGACTGTTTTGGTGGTGGGTCAGTGATGGTCTGGAGAGGTATATCCATGGAGGGATGCACAGAACTCTACAGGCTAGACCGGGTGTCGGCAACCCGCGGCTCCAGAGCCGCATGCGGCTCTTTTTCACACGTGGCTGTGGCTCCGGAGCACACTGCCCACCAGGTGACAGGCAATAGGGCAGCAATGGGCAAACTACGGCCCAGCGGACCTTTTATTCCGGCCCGCGGAGCTAGGCTCCCGCTAGGCTCCTCTCACAGTCCGCCCTGAAGACCGGTGTAGCATGAAAATCTGTCTCCTATGAGGATCTGTCCCCCTCGACGTATCTGCGCATGTGCCGGAGATCGCCGATCGGCTGCTAATGCCTGAAACTGGCACATGCGCAGATACGTCGAGGGGGACAGATCCTCATAGGAGACAGATTTTCTTGCTACACCGGAACGGCGCGGGAACACGGCGAGAGGAACGCGCGGAGCAAAGGTAAGTGAATTGACACAGGGGGGACTTGGGGACTTAATATGGGGGATGAATTACTATAGGGGGGATGAATTACTATATGGGGGATGAATTACTATATGGGGGATGTATTTTCAGTTTTAAAAATGTGGCTCTCAAAATAAATTTCAATCGTGGTTTTGGCGAGATTTGGCTCAGTTGAAAAAAAAGGTTGCCCACCACTGACCTAAGGCTATGATTGTGATTATGACAATACACTGTGGCCCTGATTAACCCTTTGCTTACTGGGCCCTTAAACCCCCTTCATGATCAGAGCGCTTTTTGCAATATATGCAGTGTCGGATTTGTTTTAAATGTTGCAATGGTTTTGCGGCTCCCAGTCTTTTTTTCCCTCTCGGAAACGGGTCCAAGTGGCTCTTTATGTCTTAAAGGTTGCAGACCCCTGGGCTAGACAATGGCACCCTGACTGCCATTCTGTATTGGGGGGAAATCCTTGGACCCATTGTCAGACCGTACGCTGGTGCAGTGGGTCCTGGGTTTCTCCTGGCGCACAACAATTCCCGGCTTCATGTGGTGAGAGTATGCAGACAGTTCTTGGAGGATGAAGGCATTGATACCATTGAATGGGCCCGATGCTCACCTAACCTAAATCCAATAGAACACCTCTGGCATTCGTTTTGGTCCATCTGACACCGCTAGGTTGCACCTCAGACTGTCAAGGAGCTCAGTCATGCCCCGGTCCAGTTCTGGAAGGAAATACCCCAGGACATAATCTGTTGTCTTATTAGGAGCATGCCCCGACTATGTAAGGCATGCATATACAAGCATGTGGGAGGCAATACAGATTGAGTACCATGTTGAGTTGGTGGAATTAAATTTTAGCAAAATGGACTAGCCTGCTGCATAATTTTTTCACTCTGCCTGGCTGATGCTTGTACAAAGATGCCATCGGTCATAGAGGCAGAGTAGCAGATGAAGGCAAGGTCAGGGGGAGTACTGTTAAGAGGTAATAATGTTAACCCTTGCACATTGCTTAGCATGCACTTAATACGAGGGTGTCTGGTGCTAGGTCTGCTTTAAGAAATAACAATATTTGTATTTTAATGTTGTGCGGTTTCCCCCCCCACTTGGTTTTCCAGCATGGGTGGCCCCAGGTTTCCAAAGTTCGGTAACCCGGGTGAACGTCTTCGCAAAAAAAGATGGGATTTAAATGAACTTCCAAAATTTGAGAAAAACTTCTACCAAGAACACCCAGAAGTAGCACGTATGACAATAGTAAGTTGTAAAAAAAAATACAATTGCCACATTGTACAAATTTGGAACATGTGGGGTTTTTTTTTTTTTTTTTTGTATGCTTTTACATGTGATTTAGGTTTTTCTTGTCTCCATTGTTGAAATGAAAGACTGGTTGTTTAATTTAATGGAGGTTGCAGACGGGGGTAGGGGTATTGTCCTGCTTGAGTACATTTTCTGCTGGAGTGCGAAGCAGCAGTTGAACACAGCAGTTTAACTAAAACAGGATAACTCAAGCAGCAGGAATATACAACAAAGAAATCTACTGCACGCTGGATGGACTGCGAGCAAACACCTTTTCTACAAGTTTGATTCCCACTCCATGTACCTTTTTAATATCCCACCCCCTCTAATCCTCCTTTTCACGTTCCTATCCTCTATTCTCAAAATGTAATTTCTTTATTCATCTGCTTCACCCCAAAGCTTATACATATCACCCTCACTTCTGCCATCTCCCTACTACTGCTCTCATCACCTCCTGCTTTACTCACCTGCTAACCCAAACACCAGGACAGAAAGGCATGGGCACTCGCATACATCCCGATACCCATCTTCCTTTCTTCACCCTCCTTCTAACCTCCTGGGGATATCTCACCCCCACACCAGGCACCCTCCTTCCTCCCAGGAATAGCCGCAATTCAGTCAATTTAATCTCAATCCCTATGCTCCTAAAAACCATCCTCCCCTTTTTCATATGGAATGCCCACTCTAATAAGCTCACCTCTGTCCATGACCTTTTTGTCTCCCACTCCCTTTAACCTACTAGCAATTACAGAAACCTGGCTTCAAGCATCAGATTCTGCTTCTCCCGCAGCACTTTCCTATGGAGGCCTTCTCTGGACTCACCCAGACGCAGTGGTCGGAAAGGAGGTGGAGTTCACAATCTCATTACTTTCAGTGTCCTAGTCTTCAAACCCTGTTCCCTTAAAGCAGCACACAATTACCAGCAGAAACATTCACAACTTTAACCCTTCTCTTTTGCACTCTGCAACTTACCGCCTCTGACAGAATCTCTCCCTTGCCCTGCCCTGACCTGGCCACTGCTGTCTACAACGGTTCGCTCTCATCCACACTAGTCTCACTTGCTCCTCTAACTACACGAAGTATCAGGCCCCAACCATTACAACCGTGGCAGACTGACAACACCAGAAGTCCAGACCTACAAAAAACTGTAGCTGGTGACTTTAAAAAAAAAAAACAGCCACTCGCCTGTCCCACAATCCCGTGTTGCCCCCACCGCAGCCAGTTTCACCAGCTGTCCTGTATTCCAGGAGGCTGGCATCTTCAGTGTGGGCACCCGGCTGTGACAGCTTGAGGCTTCACAGCCGGGTGCCCACTGCGCATGCGCGAGTAGCGCTGCGCTTCCTGAATGGACCCTTTGTCTTCTGGGACCTGTCACGTGTCCCACAAGACTTCAGGTGGAGGAGGGTAGAAAGACAACTTCAGTTTCCGATCGCCTAGGCGATCGCAGCGGAAGTGGGAGCGGGTGCCTGTCAAATTCGGGTTCCCCTTTCTGCTCCCCAAATGTGCCAGTCCTTAATGGTGAGCGGGGGACCAATTTTTTAAGCGGAACGATTGGAGCGATTGTGGCGCAAAACCAAATCTCACAAAGCATTCACCCTCTGTAAACCTGTCGTCTCTTCTCTACTTTTAACTCTCTACTTTCTACACCTCCGCCGTGTAACTCACTGCTTACGAGATTGCAAATCCTTTCAAAAACAAGATTGATGCAATTCGTAGGGGCATCTCCGCTACACAGACATCTATCCCACTTAGCATACCTTGTACTAAATCTCCCTCAACACTTGCTTCTTGACCTTCCTACTACTGAAGAGGTCATTAAAATTTTCTCAGAAGCCCACCTCCCCACCTGCCCCCTGGATCCTGTCCCCTCTCAACTTCTATAGTCACCCTCTTCTGTCCTATGCTCCCTTACTCACATCTTCAATCTCTCCCTCTCCAATGGTGCCTTCTCCACCCCTCTAAAGCATGCACAGATCACTCCCTTACTTAAAGCCATCACTGGACCCCACCAACCTGAACAACTTAAGACCCATCTCCCTGCTCCTGTTTACCTCTAAACTCTTAAAACACTTAGTCTACTATCGCCTGATCTCCTACCTCACTGACAGCCATTTTGACCCTCTACAGTCTGGCTTTCGCTCACTACGCTCCACTGAAACTGCCCTACTAAAACTCACTAATGATCTACTAACTGCTAAAACTAATGGCCACTACTCCGTACTCTTACTACTTGACCTCTCTGCGGCTTTTGATTCTGTTGACCATCCCCCCTCTTCAAAAAAATCTCCACTCTTGGCCTCCGAGACTCTGTTCTCCTACCTATCGTAGCGCTCCTTCAGCATTACCTATAACTCTGTCTCCTCCTCTCCACTGAGTTGTCCTTGGACCCCTTCTCTTCTCCATCTACACCTCCTCCCTTGGTCACTTGATAAACTCCCATGGCTTTAAGTATCATCTCTATGCTGATGACACACAAATCTTTCCAAAACGGAGCTCATACTATTCCTTCCAGCCCGTGCCCCCTCCCCTGACTTCTCCATCAAGATCAATAATACAACCATCAGTTCTTCCCCCTCAAGCAAGGGTACTAAGTGTAACCCTAGACTCCTATCTGTCCTTTCAGCCACAATCGCTGTCCAAATCTTGTAAACTTCACCTCCACAACATCTCCAAGATACGCCCGTTCTTATCATCTGAAACCACTAAGCAACTTATTCACTCCCTTGTTATATCTCGCCTTGACTATTGTAACTCTCTTCTCATTGGACTACCTAATTGCAAGCTATCCCCTCTTCAGTCTATCATGAATGCTGCTTTCCAATCATAGCCCATCTGTGTCGTGATTAGCTGTGGCTAATCATAACAGAACAAACTAGATTTTTCAGTAAAAATGCTTGTTTGTAGCAAACTCTTAGATTGTAAGCTCCAAGGATCAGGACCCTCCTAACCTTTTTGTATTGAACTGTATTGTTGCTGTATTGTCTTTCGTTTATATTGTAAAGTGCTGAGCAAACTGTTGACGCTATATAAATCCTGTATAATAACAATAATTGCTATAAGCAGTCGTGTGGTAAAATAAAAAAACACTTCTCCAGAGTAGTAGTGTTACTATGGTAACATTATATTACTCTGGTAACTGTGTTTAAAAAAAAAAAATTAAATAAAAATCATAAAGCGATCACCGCACATCGGTTATGACACTACTGCACTGGTGACAGTATGTAAAAGTGAAAAAAATGCTTATAGCCTTGAAATTCATTGCTATAAGCAATCATAATGTGTAAAGGAAAAAACTAAATACTAATCACTTCCCCAGAGTAGTACAGTGATACTGTGGTAACATTATATTACTCTGGACACAGTGTTTTTATATATTGAAAAATGTTATATATATTTTACTCATCATTTTCCACAAAATTACGGCAATTAATGACAACTTCAAAAAAATTTGCCATGCCACTAAATACCTGACTACTTTCCAAAAAGGGGTAATTTGGGGGATATCTGTACCGTCCTGACATTTTTGAGCCTCAAGAAATGAGAGGCCATAAGTACAGCAGGACTGATCAATTTTCAGATATGTACAACAGTTTGTGGACTCTAACTTTCCTACAGACTAGATAATATACACTGATTTGAGTTATTTTCACCAGAGTAATGTAGTTTACATTTTAGCCTAAATTTATGAACAACAATTATTTGCTAAAACCTGCATTTTATACAGTGGTGATCAAATACCACCAAACCAAAGCTCTAGTGGTGTGAAGAAAATGCTAAAAATTTAGTTTGGGTACAGTGTTGTATGACTGCACAATTGTTATTCAAAATGCAACTGTGCTGAAAATTGCCCTGGGCAGGAAGAGCGTAAAAGTGCCTGGTATTGAAGTGATTAAAGTGCAACGTTCGTCAGAAAATTAAAGGATATGTTCACCTTTGGGACCATGTTGCACTTGTGTTTTCTAGGGTGGAACTTTTAAACATGTTCCCAATGCTGCAGCTGCTGCCAGCACCACCAACCTGCAAAAAAATGTGCATTTTATTATTTTTGTGCAAAAGGTCCACTTATCCTTTTAAAGCGGAGCTCCACTCAAAAGGGGAAGTTCCGCTTTAAGCCTTTGTCCACTGCTCCCTATTAAGGATTGGCACCTTTTTGGGGAGCGGGTACCTGAATTTGACAGGTACCCGCTTCCGCTGAAATCGCTTAGGCAGAAGCGAGGGAGAGAAGACGGCCAGTGAAACCAGTGGTGGTGAGCACACCACTGGTCCAAGTGTGTTTTTAAAAGGCAGCAGCTAAAGTTTTTGTAGCTGCTGACTTTAATTCATTTTTTTTTCAAGTGGAACTCCCCTTTTAAGTCTTCCTATATCATTTCAGACTGTCCCTTTTTGCAGGTGTAGCTATGTAAAACATTATAAATAAGTGCCAATACTTAAAAAAAAAAAAAAAATTATATAGACCAAAGAAAAAAAATATCGTTATATAATCAATATATCCTAAAGTCTATATCATCGTGAATATAGTATTAGGAATAGTTGATTAAATTGGAGCTGCTATTATACAGCTATTGAAAAACAAAAATAAATGTGAAAAAGACCACAATAACAGCGCTCTCAAATTACAACCAAAATAAATTAAATAACTGAAAAAACCCACAACCACCAAAATAATGTGAAATTGTGTGACACAAAATAATATAAAACATACACAGGTGAAACTCGAAAAATTAGAATATCGTGCAAAAGTTCATTTATTTCAGTAATGCAACTTAAAAGGTGAAACTAATCTATGAGACTCGTTACATGCAAAGCAAGATAGTTCAAGCTGTGATTTGTCATAATTGTGATAATTATGGCTTACAGTTTATGAAAACCCCAAATCCACAATCTCAGAAAATTAGAATATTACATGCAATCAATAAAACAAGGATTGTACATAGAACAATATCGGACCTCTGAAAAGT